CAGGGCTTTGTGCATGCTAGGCAAGCACTCTACCACTAAGCCACATTCCCAGCCCCAAATACTTTTTAGGTTTAATTTTTTTAAGCAATCTCTCAATTGCCTTCAAGACCTGTTTAACTTCTAGTTCCTAGTGGAAAAAAAATGTGCAAGTTGTCAGAATCATGATTGATTCACTTGTATCAAACCTAACACAAGCAAAGCCAAGAAGGTATAATGAGTTCTTACACACAATTGCCTAGTAATAACTATCACAAAAGACCCCACTGGAATCTAATTTTGCAGAGACCACTGTGACCTCCCACATTACAAAAGTTCTTCTACAAGGATCTGCCCAGTAAGGGCTGTTGAGATTCTGCTAATCATTGTAGACAGGTTCCAAATGTGAGGCTCCTCAGTTTTGTCTTATAAAACTCTCTCAACCTCTTTGAATCCACCCACTTTATCATGGCATGTATATTCCCATTGCAATGGTCTGTCCAACCCAAATAAAAATCATCCCCCTTTGGAGAATGATTGCTACCTTGTTTTATGAGATTGATCTTAGGATGGGGCTCAGCAGTTTCTGGCCCTTCTTCTAAGTCCAGTTCTATGTACCTTATTGCCATTGCAAATGTACTTACTTAGCAAATAAAATTGCTGTAGTTGTTTAATAAGCAGGTTCCCAGTACGTTCAGTAAAAAGGAATAAAAGCCCTTTGGCACATCTGCTGGGCCTTTGCGTTCTATCCTTAAACACATTTAAACCTTTCATCTTCCTACATTAAGCAAGCTTCATTACTTAGAACAGCAGCAGTAGCACCAAAACCACCACGACCACCCAAGAATAAGTGTATTCTGTACCCACGCTTCCCCATCTTGTGCCATGACAACTATGATGAATTAAAAGACTCATTCCAGGGACAAATGTCTTCATAGCTGCTTGAGCTCCTCAAAAATCTGATCGTCATAGGGTTGGGGTAGTGGCTTCAAATGCTGGCCTATAGTGCTGGTGGCCAGCCAGGTGATGCTCTCAGGTGCCAGCTGTTACTTTACCAACTACTGGTACCTGCATCCTTTGCCACAGCCAAAATACCATGCAATCACACACACCAATATTCTATATTAAACTGGGGTGGGATCCTTTCATCTCCAGCTCTGAAACCACTAATCTGTAACCTGGGTTTCAGAGCACCAGAATCCCCAATGAGAACTCCACAGTGTGTCTAGCTTTCAGTAAGTTTTGCATTGAATCTGGAGGGAAAAAAAAAAAAAATCAATGTTCAATTTTTGTTCCCAAAGGAAAAAAAAAGTATTTTTTGTAGAGACTGGTAACTTAGAACAATGGGTAATTCTCACAGTGAATGCAATGTCTCTGGTCAATAAATATTTACTGAGCAAGAAAAAGATGACATATATTCTCAGATAAACTGTAGTAAGTGGACTTAAATTTGGATCAGAAGTGTCAGACAAAGGTAGGAAATAGATATAAATTCAGTCAATTCTATAATAGCTGGTTTATTGGAAACCCTCACAGCATTTTTCAAAATAACTTGACAGGTTTTATTTTAATAAGACATAGTGAAGAGGAAATGGCTTAAAAGATATCATCAATCTTTTATTTAACTAAGTGCTGCCCTTCATTTTGAAGGAAATGATACAATTTCAAATTGGAACTTCCTTCTCAAGAAGCAGTATTAAGAACGTAATGTTGATTTAACATACAACCTTCAACAAAAATAAAGTTCATTCACTTCATTGGGAAACAAAATGCATGTGGATTTCTTTAGTCAATGTAATTCTCTATAGGTAACAAGTTTACAGCTAAGAACAAAAACAATAAAAGGCTAAATAAACTACTCAAGTTTATAGTTATCCTGATTTAAGAAAGAAATTCACAAATAAACTCTTAACTTTCCAAACAAATCTATTTGATGTCCATGATCATATTAGATTTTATTCTTATTTGTAAAAAATAGACAAGCACATAATATCAAGAGTCTTCAACACAGTGGATCCCATTTTTGTTAAGAAAAAAAATAGAAAACAAGTAGTTCTTAAATTTTCTTAACTCTCCATAGCATATGTTATACAAAAGTAAAGTTTTGCTTCCAAAAAATACATTTCCATGTGGTTGTGGTATTAACCAATGGTGGTATTGAGGTGAGATGCACCAAAGACAGGAGAAGTTAACCCACACTGAGCCTTTTTTTTTTTCATAAAAACTAAAATTTTTCTTAAAGGTAAGGAACGATGTTTTCTGCTAGGCATCTGAGTGCTACAAAGTCATTTTAAATTAAATGTGGAATAAAATCTACAAAAAGTATGAGTTCTTTCAATACAAAACATTGTGTAGCTGAAGTTGTGGGCTCCTTTGACATAAGTTCGCAGTCTCAATAAAATATTTGCTTGGGTAAGAAAATAGAATTTGTCTGGTTTCATTTAGCATGTATGTTCCAGTCGATATCCTCCTATATCCCTGCCAGCGCTTCTGAAGAATATTGGAATCGATAATTCTTTCCTTCAAAGAGCATCCGTAATTCACAGTACAAAATAGTTCTAAAGTCTTATTCCTAAGAAACAAAGAGTATTAAATATACTTTTTTTTTCCCTTCCTAAAGTGCCAGATGTAGCCATTATCAGGGCATTAAAAACTCAAGATCTTCTCGATGTTACTTTATTAAGAACCAAGAATATTTTTACTCTCATTCTTGGAGCCCTTACCAATAGGTTGCTGGTTTACTTTTAGCATCCTGTCTCAAGAAAAATGTCCAGTGCAACCCCTGTTCCTACGCATTCCATACTTGGCATCTCTGGTCCCTGTACAAAGGCTGACATTCCCTCCTAGAGCTTCACCTAGAACAGATCTGTTTCCTAATCCTACTTCATTTCCAAGCTCTAGTAGGTAAAAACTTCTTCTCTAGAGGTAGAATACTACTGTTTGGGTGGACTTTATAGTTCTTCCTTCAAATTGGGACCTCCACTTGTAACACAAAAATCACTGTTAAAACTCAATGCGATTGGACTATAATTTTGACACAGAGGAAGGACACAAAGTTGAGGAAGAAGGAGAAAAATGAGCTTGCTAGCCCAGAACTCTTGGGAAGGACTTTTCTGTCTCTTTTCTCTCCTATTGTCTTGTCTGCACAGTGGGCACCAGTTTCAGTTTTCTCTAACCAACATCTGTTAGCTAGAGTAGGTTCTCCTAAATGGCTTTACTGTTATCTTGCTCTGCTTTTCCATGAACAAGAGAACATAAACACAAGACTGAGAATATTAAATATCGGAAGTAGATCTACATTCCCAAGAGAAGACTGATTCTTCACCAAAGTTCCAGACCAGGACTTGAACAATAGATATTTATCCCAGTAAAAACAAACATACAAAACTTTTTTGTCAAAAACAGGGAACACACTTATAATGAAAAGGTTTCAAATCAAGGAGCCACAGAAAGTCTAGAAGTTACCAAAGTACGGCTCTATGCATGAAAAAGAAAAGGTACAAGAAAATCCTTTGATCTAGGCATGGATGGCTCACATCTGTAATCCTAGCTACCTAGAAGGCTGTTAGCATATTTCGAAGCCAGCCCAAGCAGGAAAGTCTGCGAGATTCTTACCTCCATTTAACAGCATGGAGCTAGAAGTAGGGCTGTAGTTCAAGTGATAATGAACCAATCTTGAGTGAAAAAGTGAAGAGAGAGCACTGGGCTCTGAGTTCAAGCCCTAGAGTATGAGTACCAAAAAATAAAAATAAATTTAAAAAAAAGGAGGGGCTAGGAAGGTGGCTCAGTGGTAGAGCGCTTGCCTTGCATGCATGAGGCCCTGAGTTCGATTCCTCAGAGCCACATAAGCAAAAAGAAAAAAGCCGGAGTGGTGCTGTGGCTCAAGTGGTAGAGTGCTAGCCTTGAGCTTGAGCTGAGGGACAGCGCCCAGGCCCAGAGTTCGGGCCCCACCACCGGGCCCCCGCCCCCCAAAAAAGAAAGAAATCCTTCAAGATGTATCAGCTTGATTTAGAGATCTCAAAGAAGTGCAAGAATAGCCATTGTACCATTCAAGTACAATTCTATTCCACTTGTTAAGAATTAGGTCACAAAAATGACTTGTCCTGTATACATTTTGCCTCTCAAAGACCAAAAAAAAAAAAAAGGACCGTAACTTTACTCAACTTCTGAGACAGACAGCACTGGTGGGCAGCAGAGAATACTCTAGAGGTAAGAGCTCACTCACATTAGTACTTGGGATGGGTACTGGTATTTTATTCTAAAGGCCTCATACTAACTCATACAGTAGTTTAGTAGCAGACCCAAGCAGTAACTGCTCAGTGGGCCACTGGATTCCATAGTCGTCATCTGGTTTCGGATTCTGTCCTGACTACACCAGCTGGCATTTCTGATTGATGCTATTCTTCTTAAAGGATGGCATGAGCTCTCTCCCAGCAACCGGGAGACTGCCACAACCTAACAAGACTTTGGGACTTGCACTAAACCGCGCCAATGGTGGCCGGCAAAAATCTGTGGTCTTCTTATTGAAATATTACTGAGATTTTAACACAAAGCAAAACAGAAGTTGAGGATAAGGGAGGTGGGCCAGTGAGAGGAAAGGGGATTAAAAGAAAAAAAAAAAAAACCACAGGATCACAATCAAAGCGGTTTGCAAGGGTTACCTTCACCGTTCACAAAGCACCATGCAAAGAGCGATGAACTAAATCTTGCCAGGAAAGCCAGTTTGGCTGTCTCCCTAGTGGATACTTTATGGGGTGGCACAAGCCAAACCCATCTGTGACCTGCGGATGAACACAGCCAAGCAGGTTTAATTAGACCAGAGACACAAAGGGCTATTCCCTCCTTGGAGAACAAAATACCTCGGCTCCCAGTGCCTCCCACAGCAGGCAGAAAAACAAAGGCAGCAGCACAGCACCTTAATTGAATCCTTCCCCTAGTCTGCCCTCAACAGTGATTTACTGGTAACCTGGGAGGGGAGAGGAGGGAGGGAAGGAGAGAGGGAGGGAGGGAGGGAGGGAGGGAGGGAGGGGGAAGCAGGAGCCTCAGCAAAGAGCCTGCTCCGGAAAAGGAATGATTTGGGGGCTGGGAAGAGGGAGGTAGTAAAGCCTTTGTTTGTAGCTCCAGTTTCCTCAACGATTTGTTACACTTAGTAGGGGGCCTGCCTGGTTTTGGTTCAGTGCTTCCCAGACCAGGGGGTTTGCTCCAGCTCTGCGCCCTAGGAATCCCACAAGATAAATCACCCCAGCGACTCTCATCTCCAGCCTGGCTCAGCAGGGGAAGCAGCAGATAAGATAAGCCGCTCCCCCCTCCCCTCCACCCCGGTGTGGGGGGGCAGGCCGGCGGGGCTCCTCCCCGCGCACCCTCTGCCCTTAGTACCTGGCACCACCAGAGCTCAGAGGAGGGAGAGAAGCCAGGAGGAAGAATGGCAGATGGGGTGGGGGGGTGTAGGGGAGGGTGCTCTGAACTTTTTCTCCTACAGTTACTTGCACTGGGAAGGGTCGATTTCAGGCCCTCCCCTTTAATCCAGCAGGGTTTTCAATGCCAAGTGACCAGTTCTGTCCCACCGCAGGCCTCGCCTTGGGAAGACCGACTCCAGGAGGCTGGGAAGAAAAGACTCCTCTCAAAAGTGCTCCTACCTGTTCCCTCTGTCCCCTTCCTCCTCCCCCCATCCACAGCCAGCGGCGCATTTCACCAGCTCGCACGCTCGCTCTGCTCTCTCTCCATTTTCCAAAGGACCCGAGAATCCTGGATGGGGCCCCTGAAAGCGATGGAGGAGAGAGGCGAGGAGGAGGAAGGAGGGGGTGGGGTGGAGCGGGGCGGGCAGGGCTCCCTTCCGCTTGGCCAGTCGGTCAGTGCGCTACGGTCTCTCGGTCCTCTTCCTCGGAGCCCAGCGCAGGGGGGCGCCGGGGAGGCAGCTGCGTAGTCCGGGCAGCGTCGCTGTCGCCCTCCAACGGCTCAGCCGGGTGCAGGTGCATGGCGAGTTCCTGAAGCACGGCCGCGCGTCCGATCTGGTCGTTGCGCCTCTTCTCCATGATCAAATCCTCCAGGCTCTGGAACTCGAGCGTGTGGCTGCGCTGCGCCGAGAGCTGGATCTGCAAGCGGTAGGGCTGCTTGCCGATGCGCAGCTCGCCGCCGATCTTGAACTCGCGCTTGCCATAGCGGCACCAGGCGGCGAAGCTCTCCGAGTTGCGCCAGCTGAGCTCGCGCTCCTTGGCGCCCACGTGCGCCAGCGCGTTGCGCACCACCGCGCTGGGGCTGAGCGGTTTGTACCGGTACAGGTCGTTCACCACGCGGCCGCGACGGCCCTGGCTCGCGTCGGTCAGGAAGCTGTTGCTCACCTCCAGCCGATGCAGGTGCACCACCTGGAAATTGCCCACGTACACGGCCCAGTGCGGGTACTGCGCCTGAGACACGAACTCCACCAGATCGCCCGGATGGCACTTGTTGAGCAGGTTCTCGGGCGTGTAGGTGCTCAGCGCCGCCGAGCCGGGCGCAAAGCTCTTCTGGTAGATGCACTCGTCCCGATAGAAGACCGAACACTCGACCTCGTGTTGCCGCGGGTCGTAGGGCTGTGGCGGGGGCGGCGATGGCGCCGATCCGTCCCCAGAATCGGGCAACCCGCCGCCGCTGCCCTCGAGACCCGGGGGCGGCGGCGGCTGCGGCTCCGCGTCCTCGTCGTCGTTGGAGAAGATGTAGGAGACCCCGATGCGGGGCCCGTCGTCCCGGTCCACGCCCGTCGGGTCGGCGGTGGGCACTTCCTTGTAACTTAGGTGGGTCAGTTTCTCCACCTGGTTCCCCATCGCGCCGCGGACGGACGCGCGCGCTCACAGCGCCGGCAGCGGAGCAGGCGAGACCGCCACGGCGGGCATTGGCCCGGGGCCCCGGGCCAGGGCGAAAGCCACCTGTTGAAAGAGGAGGCGAAGAGGCTGTGTACGCGGGGAACCTCTCCCGGAAGAGACGTTCGGTTCTGCGGGAAAAGATCGGGGAAGGGGAGGGGGGCGGGGAAGGGAGCGAGCACCGGGAGTCATCTTAGGGGCAGTCTTTACAGCCTTTCCCTCCTCGCCCCACCTCTTAAGAAGGTCGCGATCCAGGACGCCAGCTCTTCCCCACCCCCCATCACCTGGGCCCGGGCATTAGTAGCAGTCTCCACCGCTTCCGCCCGGTCCTACCTGCCAAACCTGGGCGGGAGGGGCAGAGGGAACGGAAACTTTACTCCACCCTCCGCCCCTAACTTCCCTTCCTTCTGCCTCCAGGGCCCGCACCCACCCGGAGCCGCTGCCCGGCGCCCCGATCGCCGGGGAAGCCGGCCGGGACCCGGCGGGGCGCGGCAGGTAAGTCGCCCTACCTGGCTCCCCGCGGCGCGGCCTCCGCCCGCCTCCCCCGCCCCCGGAGGCCCCGGGAGGCTCGGGTTACCCGCGCCAACTCACCCGCCGGAAAGGGGGGGAGGCCCCGCGCGGCGCGGGGAGGCTGGCCCGGCCGCACCCCGCGACTTCTAGGACGAGTTTGCAGGTGTGGGCTCGGCCGTGCCTCCCCTGGCGGCGCGGGCGGCAGCTGAGCCGGGCCCCGGCGGGCGGCGCATGTCGAACCCCCGCGGTGGCGTTAGCGCCCCGAGACTTGAAGGGGGTGTGGGGGGGGCAATTCCTCTTCACGCCGCGCCCCGCCTCCCTCCCGCGAGCGCCGCGGCCCCTGGTCCCCAGGAGAAGGGCAGACCGCCGCCGTGCGTGCCGGTGGCGGCAGCTCCGGCTCGGCCCGGCCGGGTGAGCAACAAGCACCGGAGCGGGAGGGACTGGATTGTAGATCCGGCTTGGAGCTCCCGGGCGGGAGCGCAGCCCGTGGCATTTAAAGAGACAGGCACTCGCTCCCGGAGCTCGGGTCTTTCCCCGTGGAGCACCCGGGCAGCCTGGAGCCCCGCCCCGCCCCGCCCCCCCGGGCCGCGGGGCTCCTCCCCGGCCACGCCCCCTCCGTGCTGGGTTTAAAATCCCGCTGGTGCGGCGCCCGCCGCCGCCGGCGGTGCCCACCCCTGGGACGTGCCCGGCGTCCGCGTCGTGGGGAGCCGGCTTAGGCCACCTGCCAGCGGAGAGATTGGAGAGTGAGGACGAGGGCCACGTCTGTGCCTTTGGCCTCAGTAGTGAAGAAGCAGCAGTTGCTAGGGAATTTGGCTTTTTTCCTTTTTTCTTTTCCTGCCTGGAATGGTATTTTGCAACCCAGAAAGTCTCCTGTGGGACAGATCCGGGAGCGCGCAGGGTTTCCAGAAAGAGCAGAGCTGAACTTCGGGTGGAGAGACACACACGCATACACGCGCACACCTGCACACACGCGCACACACACACGCACACAGTTACCATCTCCCACCACCACTGGACTGTTTATTAGATGTCCCTCTTAACATACACTGGATTTCCACCTCCCCCCCCCCCCCCCCGTTTCTTGGGGAACCCAGGTTGTTGGGCAGTAAGAAAAAAGCCTGCAGAAGTGGGGTGGGGGGGGGTAGGGGTGGGGTTGGGGTAGGGGTGGGAGCGAGATGTTCCTAATTGTCCTTAAATTAGAAACAAATTAGCTGAGGTCCCTGTGGGATGTATTTCCTTCCTGCTGACTTAACGAGTGGGAAGTGACAGGGCTGTTGCTGCTTGTTTACTGGATCCACTCAAAGACATTTTTTTCCCCCTGCTGGTTTCGTTTTGTATACCCAAGGCAGACTGCACAGAAGTGGCTTGTGTTTATATTTTAAAATAATAAAGCCCGGCGCCTGTAATCCTAGCTACTCAGGAAGCTGATTTTAAAGAGGATCCTTCTTGGAAGGAAGCCCAAGCAGGAAAGTTAGTGAGACTCTTTTATATCCAATTAACCACCCAAAAGCTAGAATAGTGAAGCTAGCTATGGCTCAAGGGGTAGAGTATCAGTCTTGAGTAAGAAAGCTAAGGAAGAGCACCCAGGCCGAATGAAGGCCTCAGTACCAGCACAAGAAAATAATAAAGTGAAATAAAATAATGCCTGACTCATTAAGAATTCTACTCAAGTCCATATCCTGTTTTCCATCACTCTACCTTTCAACTAAAAATTTCCAGGTAACACCATTATTTATTCAGTGTGTATACCAACCAGTGGAAACAGAAATATACTAACACTCCTGCGATCCTTTGTAGTTTGGAGAGCAAAATCAATCTACTTATGTACCGTTAAGCCGGAACAATCAATATTGTCAGGGCCGTGATGGAAGTTAGTCCTATAGCACATCTAAGATCAATCACAGTTTAAGCTTCACCAAAATGAGACTTTGGTGTATTACGCAGATGTAAGTTAAATATTTTCAGAGTAGCCTCAGGTACATGTGACTGGGCAAGCTATCATCTCTGGACCTTTGGATAGCACTTATTCTGGAGGCTCCTGACACATAGCTACTGCTCTATGGAGAGAGTTGCACTTGGTGAGACATTGGCTGGGCTTCCTTCTGTCTGTCCGAAAATGGGAAACCTCTGCTATACACTTTGCCCCCTAGTGGCTGGGTGGGCTGGTGGGGGATGGGAGAATTGGTTGAAAGACATAGTAGTGTGACAGGTCCTCTGATACCAGCACTCTAGATCAAAGATCTAAGATGGCTGAGGAAACCAGGTCTAGTTGTCTGTCTCTGCAGATAACTAGATCTATTGAGCTGCAGAGTGGTGTTCCATTTTTTCAACTATAAAGATTCAGAAGGGACAGACCCTGTTCTGCTTAATATCTATATATCTGGTATTTAGCACCTGCTCACTAAATAGACCTTGCTGATTGGGGGAAGGGAAACCGTAGCCGTGGATCATAGGAATTTCATGTAAAAGTTGTGGGAATATAGCTTAGTAGAGTGCTCACTCAGTGTTCTCAAGACCCTGGCTTCTAATCCCCAGCCTTGCAAAACAAACAACTAAATAAAAAGCTAGCTGGTTTTATAAGCAGTGAGTGAACAGAAGATGCCTCTTGATAGTCTGCTTCTAATATGGACTTGTGTGTGTGTGTGTGTGTGTGTGTGTGTATGTGCACGCACGCACGCTTGCACGTGCATATGCACGTGCCTATACTAGGGCTTGAACTCAGGTCCTGGGTACCTCTCCCTTAGTATTTTGTTCAAGATGACACTCTACCACTTGAACCACAACTCTATTTCTGGCTTTTTGGTAGATGATTGGAGCTAAGAGTCTTACGTACTTTCCTACCTGGGCTGACTTCAAGTGGAGATCCTTAGATCTCAACCTCCTGACTAACTAGGATTACAGCATGAGCCACTAGCACTGGATGGTCGATTCTTTTATTAATAACTAAGGCTTCATGCTCCATCTAGTTACCTGAACCACCAGAACTATCTAGGGCTTTACCCTCCATCTAGTCCTTACACGATGGCTTACAAATGGCCATTGCTTTATCTCAAATAATAAAAAAAAAATCAGATTTTTCAGCTTCACTTAAAAAAACATCTATGAGCCTACCAGACTCATCCTCCAGGATGGTTGCAGATAGCTGGATCTGATTGGTGGCATCTTACAAAGCTATCCAGCCCCTATCCCATTTACCTTCCTAGGTCCTTTCTCTCTGACCCTGGAGGTTGCTTTACTGGCCACCATTTAAATCCAATACATGCATAGTCCATATATCAGTTAGCTATAGCTTAACACACAGTCTGGTACTGTTTTAGTCTTATTCTGTGATTCATGAATTCTAGAAGAATTGGATTCAAAGTATATTGAAGACATAGTAGGTGCCTGCTAGTCTTGTTTAACATTCATTCATTCTGCTAGTTCAACAGGCCTTGTGCTAGATTATACTGATACTCATGTCCCCATAGATCTCACATAGAATAGGACACAGAAATAGACACCAGGAAACTGACCTGTCCTTCAAGAAGAGGAAATAGAGGATGCTGAGAGGGGGAACTGAATCTCGAGACCTGTAGATACAAGGATGACTAGTGGGGTAAACACCTCTAAAATTAAAGATAACTCCCAGTGAATGAGCTGTCAATTCTTTTATAAAGAAAAAGAAGAGACAGGTAAGCAATGGCTTCTCCATCCCTAGTATAAGAGGGAGGATCATACATGTTTGTGTTCATTTTCAGGGTGTAGCATTTTTAGCCACTTAGTTTTCAATAGAAAAGCACAGATTCTATATTTAATAAATACTTGAGTGTCTGCTTTTACCAGGCTCTGGGGATATAGCTATGAACACAGCAAACACAATCCTCCTCCTTTCGGCATTTACATGTTGGTGGCATGTGAGAAATAAGTAAAATATGAATATGAATATCTGAGAGAGGGAACCAGGCGTTGGGGAGTAATATAGGGTGCTAGGATTAAATACCTGCCACTAAGGAGGAGGTTGTGACAGGTGGCCTACTTTGGATACGACGCTCAGGGAAGACGCCTAAAGAAATGGAAGTTGAGTTAAGACTTGGAGAATGAGAAGGACCGGCCTTGGCCCTTTCTGCAGAAGAAAAAGCAAATGTCAGTGGTAGGAAAGAACTGAGATGTTTCAGGAACAGGAAAAACAAAAACCAAACCATCCAACTGTAACTAGTGCACAGGAAAAGGGTTGTCCTGGACCATGTTGGTAAATAGAGGCAGGCAAGCCTGGGAGTCTAAGGCTATCTCTGCCCATGGGGGATGGACTTAGAGAATCAGAAAAGGATGTGGCTACAGCTGACAGCCAGGCCGGGCTGTGGGGATGAAAGGCAGACCCAGCCCAGTGAACAAAGAGTACAGCGTGTGAATCTCCTTCCCAGCTGCTGCCTGTCCATGAAGAAATGTTACTTGGGTCTGGATGCCCTTCAGCCATGATCCAACTGTCACATCCCACACACCTCCCTGGGGGAGGCACTGGATTAAAAAAAAAAAAAAAAAAAAAGTTGTGCTGAGAGCTAGTTAGTGACCCTTGCTGTTCCTGTCCAGGCTGGTCAAGATGACTTGAAAATTGACATTTCTCCCTGAGGCCACAGCCCTGATGCTGCAGGTGTGGTAGAGATCTCAGTTAAATGAAGCAGCTCACTCCAAGAACACAGGACAGGAGCTGGGGGTGGGGGAGGGCAGATCTCTAGAGAGGGAGTGTAGAACTCAGTCTGCTCCCGCCCCTCCCCCCTGTCCCCCAAGACAGAACTCTCGGGTTAGGCAGTGTAGAACTCTGGCCTGTCCCTAGCTTGGCCCCAGGGGGAAGATACAGAACTCTATGATTCTGAACTCTGGCTTATTCCCCAGCCTAGGCCCCAGGCTCAGGGCAGCAGGCCACAGCCCAGTGATTGGGCTGGAAAACAGATTCCTTCCCTCCTCCCTTACATTTGGAAACTTGTAGACCTACCTGTACCTGT